GTCCACAAGTCCGTTCTCTACTAGATTAATCAGTACCATTTTTCTAGATTCCATATATATGTGCTAATATACAATACTTGTTTTTCTGACTTAACTTTACGCTGTATAAGAGGCTTCAGGTTCATTCACCTCATTACAGTTAACTCAAATTTGTTCCTTTTAATGGCTGAGTAATATTCTGTTGTATAAATGTACCATTGCTTCTTTATCCATTCATCTGTTGATGGACATTTAGGTTGCTTTCATGTCCTGGCTGTACAACTACATATATTTAATATTCCCTACAGGGAACTATTCGGAGAAGGCAATGGCACCCCACTCCAGTACTCTTGCCTGGAAAATCCCATGGACGGAGGAGCCTGGTGGGCTGCGGTCTATGGGGTCGCTAAAAGTCGGACACGGCTGAGCGACTTCACTTTCACTTTTCACTTTCATGCGCTGGAGAAGGAAATGGCAACCCACTCCAGTGTTCCTGCCTGGAGAATCCCAGGGACGGAGAAGCCTGGTGGGCTGAAGTCTATGGGGGTCACACAGAGTCAGACACGACTGAAGTGACTTAGCAGCAGCAGCAGAGGGAACTATTATAAACTAACTTTAGATAAACCTGAACTGGCCACAGCTGGAATTGAATACAATTTATTCCTCAGTTAACTAAGATATATTGCATGCATAGCTTTAAGGATCCAGGGACAGGATGTTCTGTTGACTAGGAATGAAACTTCAAAAAAAAAAAACTTCTAAATCTTAAAAAATTATATTCACTGTTACCTTAGAATTCTCCATCAGTCTTTCATGTTTCTGCATATCTTCTCATACCTTTTTGATTTGGACTATCTTTTCAAGGATATTTGTATAGCAAATATTTTTTAGAAATTTAACATCCCTCTTTGGGGCAGAGGGCAGATTTTGTTGACTCATCATGATAGTAGAAACAATGTCTCCCACTGAGAAAAGATGAGGCTTTCAGAAAAGATGAGGGATAGGTTGGAGGGCAGCTCATAGGTGGGGCTACGAGCTGAACAGGTTTAGTCATTCTACCCCACAGTCTTTGGGAAGGTGTGAGACAAGGGCCCTCCTTGAGGTTCAGGGGAGGGGAGTTCCCAGAGAGGGAGAAAAGATAGGGCTTTCCTAAACAGGATTCCTCTCAAGCTCTACAAGCTCAGCTCTACTCTGCAAGCATCAGCTGGGCACCATTGCTTTGTAGGAGTCAGGGCTTTGGGAACAAGCACAAGTGTTACTATTCTGGCTGCTGCTATTGCAATGATTAATAAACTTTCCCTTGTCTCTGGCGCAGGAGTCTCATAGCTTCTGCCAAGATCTATGATACTGTGATATGCTGACTTGTTTTCTAACAAATAAGAAAAACTGTAGACCCTTCCCAGTTGTTGGCAGTTTCAGTGACAAAGATGGAATGCTAACAAGACATGACTTCCTGGAACAGGAAATATAAGAACCTCTCCACAGTCCATTTAGTCCATTTAACATGATTTGGATTCCTAGGAGATCAAACCAGTCAATCCTAAAGGAAATCAACCCTGAGTATTTATTGGAAGGATTGATGCTGAGGCTGAAGCTCCAATACTTTGGCCACCTGATGCAAAGAACTGACTCACTGGAAAGGATTCTAATAGTGGGAAAGATTGAGGGCAAGAAGAGAAGGGGGCGGCACGGGATGAGATGGTTGGATGGCATCGTCAACTCAACATGAGTTTGAGCAAACTCTGGGAGATGGTGTAGGACAGGGAAGCCTGGTGTGCTGCAGTCCATGGGGTCTCAGGGAGTCGGATATGGCTTAGTGTCTGAACAGCACCAGCATGATTTGAAAAAAGGACTTGGATTTAGTTACAGCTATATTATTCAATCCAGCAATAAGTAATCTCTACTCTCACTGAGGAGGAACTAGGGATAAGGCTGTGAACTGAGCACTGGGAAGCAGGTTCAAAGACAGCTGCCTGAACAGTGACTTGATTGATTGTTGTTATCCTTGGGATGAGGGCTAGAGGGTCTATATGATCAGCCTCACACCCACCCTAACCAATGCTAAGATTCACCCTGGCTTAGAGGAAAGTTCTGATCCTTTTCAGACAACAATTACAGAGACACTCACCTATGCCAAATGCAAAAAGAGAGAAATTTATGTCTGCTCTGAGTAGAAATCTTGCAAATTTACAGAACTTTGACTGATTAGCTTGGGAGATAAAAAGGAAGGCACACATACTATTCGTTAAGGAGTCGGATGTGTGAAAAGGAAGGGATAGCTCTTCCTAGGGTGCTGTAAAAGACAGTTTGGTTCAGCACTCTAGGCAGAACTATTTCTTTTCACAAGCTATTTGATGGGAATAGCTTGGCCCTCTTAACAGCTCAACTTCTCCTGAATTCTATCAAGCCAGTATCAGATCCTTTCAAAGATGACATTAAAAAGCCTCAAAGTTGTTGTTGTTGTTGTTGTTGTTGTTGTTTGAAGTGGGTCTTGGTCATAAGGGCACCCTGGTCCTCTTAGTAAAAGTGCCCTGAGATAGAAAAATCCATGAGCAGTCACAGATGAAGCACTGCATAGTATTTGGGCATATATTGTCCTGTCTTTTGCCTATATGCTCCCCTATACTGGCCCTCATGGGCTGAAAGACAGAGACATAATGGATCTTCATAAGTTTTATAAAAATCCTCTTGTCGCTCTTGCTCCTGACTGATTCTTCCAGATAAAAACTTGGGTAACAGTAAAGGATTATTGGAAAGATGTAGTTATAGTTCCTGGAACGGGACACATGAATTTTGTGGCAATGGAAAGACAGGGGGAAAAAAATAAGCATCTGGGGAGGGAGCAACTTAAGCATGAGAAGTAGAGGGAAATGAGGGACATTAATATTTTTTTTTGTCTTTTAGAACAACTCTAGGACTCTTCCCCACAAAGGAAAATGCCTTAGTGCATCTCTCCCAAACTACTGCAAGTTCCTTGAATTTAACTGACTCCTGGGTTGCTGTCTGTTAGACAGCTTTGATTTCAGTTTGACTGCTGTTCTCTTAATCTTACTTCTCGGTATTGGAAATAGAAGCAAGTGGCCTGTTTCTTCACCTCCCATGGTATCTTTAAAATTCCATTTTAGCTCCTTTTTACTTTTGAGTCACTGGTTACAACTCTTTTCTGTGTTATTTTATGGTTCACTTTAGGATTGGATAGTAAAGACCCTGCCTGCAATGCAGCAGACCCAGGTTCAATCCCTGGGTTGTAAAGATCTCCTGGAGAAGGGAATGGCAACCCACTCCAGTATTCTTGCCTGGAGAATCCCATGGACAGAGGATCCTGGCGGGCCACAGTTCATGGGGTTGCAAAGAGTTGGACATAACTGAACAACTAACACTTAGGTTTTAGAGTATCTGTCTTTAACTTACTAATGTATTAGTTTCTTCTAGCTTCTGTTCCAAGTTATTACTTGGTGGATTAAAACAAAATAATCTCTCATGAAATGTGAAATATTTAACTGGGCTAAAGTCATTGTGTTGGCAGGATTACACTACCTCTAGAAGCTCTAGAAGGGAATTTGCCTCTTTCTTCTTCCAGTTCCTGGTAACTGGTGACAATCCTTGACTTATGAACACATTGCTCCAATCTTTGCCTCACTGGTAACGTTGCATTCTTTTTTTTCTACATCAAATCTCCCTCTGCCTTTTATTTCCCCCTTGGCCATGCCTGGCATCATGTGGGAATCTTAGTTCCCTGAACAGGGATGGAACCCGCCGTGCCCCTTGCAGTGGAAGAATAGAGTCTTAACCACGGACCACTAGGGACGTCCCCCTTTGCCTCTTTCTCACTTGCTGACACCCAGATTATCCCAGATAATCTCCTCATGTACATGTACAGTGATCATGTACGGATGTGAGAGTTGGATCATAAAGAAGGCTGAGTGCCAAAGAACTGATGCTTTTGAATTGTGATGCTGGAGAAGACTCTTATTCCTTGGACACCAAGGAGATCAAATCAGCCAATCCTAAAGGAAATCACCCTGAGTATCATTGGAAGGACTGATGCTGAAGCTCCAATACTTTGGCCACCTGATGGGAAGCGCCGACTCATTGGAGAAGACTCTTCATGCTGGGAAAGATTGAGGGCAAGAGGAGCAGGGGGGTGACAGAGGATGAGATGGTTGGATGGCATCATAGACTCAATGGACGTGAGTTTGAGCAAATTCTGGGAGATAGACACCACTCTCCTCCATCCGGGCAACTTTTGATTGCATACTTGACTGATTTTTACCTTGTTGGGTACTGGATGTTTTAATATGCCTGTAAATATTCTTGAGCTCTTAGTCAAATTATTGAAAATATTTCACTCAGGTATTACTTTGAAGATTCATTTTTGCCAGGTCGAGGGAACTGTTTAGTGTAAGACTAGTTTTGACCACCTCCTGAGGCAAAATTCTTGTGAGTACTTACTGAGTACCCATAAATTATACGCTTCTCAGGTTTCGCTAGTGGTAAAGAACCCGCCTGCCAATGCACAAGATAGAAGAGACGTGGGTTCAATTCCTGGGTGAGGAAAATCCCCTGGAGGAGGGCATGGTGACCCACTCCAGTAGTCTTGCCTGGAGAATCCCCATGGATAGAGGAGCCTGGCTGGCTACAGTCGGTGAGGGGTCACAAAGAGTCAGACATGACTTAAGTGACTTGGCAGGCAAATCAATTATTTCGCAACAAAACACAGTGGTCTAAAATAGATAAAAGGGTGGCAACTGACTCCGCAACACCTCCCAGTGAAAACTTTAGCTGGTGCCAGAGAAGGGTCTGGTATGGTGTACCATCCCAGTACACATAGGATGGTGTTTTAGCTCTCCAGGCCGTCCTAGAAGCACCTGCGCACGGGAATCACCTGGAAGGAATCAGCTAAGAGAGCGGGCGGGGCGTGCGAGTAGGGGGCGTGGACGCCCTCGCCTCTCCCCCTCCCTCAGGTGATTCTCGGCTCTCGCCGCCGGCGCTGCTACTGGGGCGACAGCGTCGTGACGTAGCGTCAACGGCCGTCGGGCGACGGCTGGCGTTCGGCGCTGGTAGCTGCTGCCGTGGGTCGTGGGAGCCCGCCCTTTCCTTTCAGCACAAATGTCCGTTTGTAAAACAGCAGGGCTGGCGTCTGCAGGATTTGCGGGCTTCAGTCCTGCAGGAAGTGCGGGAGGCTCAGAATTTCCAACGTGTTCACCTTAGAGCCAGCCAGGGCAGCGCCAGCCCACCCAGTAACCTGAGTGCCCGCAGCGTCAGCAGCTACACCGAGGGGTGAGCTACCTCCCTCGTCCTCTCCAAGCGTTTCCACTAGTTTCTCTGGCAGAAGCATCCTTGTTTTTCTCTCCGTTTTCTTATCTTGATGCAGACTTTAAGACCAGTCGTCCATGGGCTGTACCCACATCCCGCCTCCCCTCCCTCCCCCCTTTCTATAATGTCTCTTTAAAGTATCAAGGGAATCCTTGAAGGAACACCGTACATTTGTCCTCGTGGTGAAAAGTGACTGGTGGTGGTTGTTGCTCAGTCTGACTCTGTGTGACCCCGTGGGCTGTAGCCCGCCAGGCTCCTCTTGTCCATGGGATTCTCCAGGCAAGAATACTGGAGTGGGTTTCTTTGTCCTCCTTTAGGGGATCTTCCAGACCCAGGGATCAGACCCGCATCTCCTTCATTGGCAGTTGGTTTCTTTACCACTGAACCAGCGTGACTGGTAGCCTTGGGTAAATTTCTGGTGAGACAGAATCAACCTCCTGGCACTGTTCAGTTCAGTTCAGTCGCTCAGTCGTGTCCGACTCTTTGCGACCCCATGAATCGCAGCACGCCAGGCCTCCCTGTCCACCACCAACTCCCGGAGTTTACTCAAACTCATGTCCATCGAGTCGGTGATGCCATCCAACCATCTCATCCTCTGTCGTCCCCTTCTCCTCCTGCCCCCAATCCTTCCCAGCATTAGGGTCTTTTCCAATGAGTCAGCTCTTCGCATGAGGTAGCCGAAGTATTGGAGTTTAGGAGGGTTAAATGGAACAGAAGTGTAAAATTCTTAAGTATTTTCTTGTAAGTATTCGCCATATGTAACTTTAAAAAAATTATGGTGAGCTTGATGGAGTGGTTAGGTTAATTACTAGCACCTGCTGAATTTCCCATCCTTTTCTGTTGGTTTCTTAAAGTAGCCCATTATCTCTGCATTCCCGTCTTCTATCTTAGGTAAACTTACTCTGTTCCCTCCTCTAAAGTGTGTTGGCCCATTGTGCCTTAAAACTCTTCTTTTTGTTTACGCAAGGACTTCTTCATAGCAGTTCCCTCTCAGTCATACTTTTTTCTTTCTATTGAATCATTTCAGTCAGCAAATTACTTTCTAGGACTGTGGTACCAAAGTGCCACAAATAAGGTGACTTAAAACAATTTATTAAAATTATTTTAAAATTTATTTGGTTGCGCGGGGTCTTAGTTGTGGCAAGTGGAATCTTTAGTTGCTGCAGGGAGAATCTTTCATCATGCAAACTCTTGAGTTTCAGCTTGTGAGATCTAGTTCTCTGACCAGGGATTGGGGAGCACAGAGTCTTAACTGCTTGGGCCACCTGGGAAGTCCCTGAAACAATTTATAAGAGAAATTTATTCTTTCAACACTCTGGAGCCTGAGTCTGAAATCAAGATGTTGGCAGGGCTATGCTCTGCTTAAAAGTTCTAGGAAAGAATCCTCTAGCTTCTTCCCAGCTTTTGGTAGATGATGGCAATCCTTAATATTCCGTGGCTTGCGGCTGCACCCCTCCAATCTCTGCCCTTGTCATTTCATGGCTTTCTTCCTTGTATGTCTATGTGCAAGTGTCTTCACATTCCTTTCTTACAGTGAAAGTGAAGTCACTCAGTTGTGTTGACTCTTTGCGACCCCGTGGACTGTAGCCTATCAGGCTCCTCCATCCATGAAGTATTCTCCAGGCAAGAATACTGGCGTGGATTGCCGTTTCCTTCTCCAGGGGATCTTCCCAACCCAGGGATTGAACCCGGATCTCCTGCATTGCAGGCAGACGCCTTAACCTCTGAGCCACCAGGGAAGCCCCCTTTCTTATAGTAACCCAGTCAATGGGTTTAGGGCCCACCCTAATCCAATATGATTTAATTTTAACTCGATCATATCTACAAAGACTTTTCAAATATGATCATGTTCCCAGGTATCAAGGGTTAGGACTTGAACATGTGTTTTTAGAGGACATACTTCAGATCACAACTCTGGGACTAATCTAGGTGTGGAGTGCTTCAGACAACAGGGAACCAATGCTATTTCATCTTAATTATGCCAGTCTATCAGACAACTCCCAGGGTCAAGCACATGCTTTTAAATGTTGGGGAGGAGGCATTGTCCTGAATGTTAATCACCTTTGGACAGAGAAAAGTAGGCAGATGAAAATTTAAGGCCTGCCTTGTCTTGCTTCCTTACTTATTCCAGCATGACTTTGGTGCTGCCCTGATATTGCTCTGCTGAAAGGCTATTACTTTCTGTGGAAATAATAATATGCATAAAAGGCATGTGTTAGCTTAAGAATGGGAAAAAGGTAAAAATAAAATTTTTAAGTTTTCTAAATACATTCTTTCACTGTTGCCACTGTCTTCTTCCTGCCTTTCAGCACCTGTCCTAAATGCCCACTCATAAATCACACGTCTAGGGGTTTTTCACAGGGGTTTTAGTTGTTGCTGTTAGGAATGTTTCCCTCTCCATTTTGTAGTTTCTCCAGAGTTGATTTTAGGATTCACCATCTTCATGTCAGTTGATAATCCTGCTACCCTTTTTGTTTCTTTAAAAATTTTTTTGTTTTGTATTGAAGTATAATTAATTTATAATGTGTTAGTTTCAGAAAGTTAGCACTTAGCAAATAGATTGAGTTAGTGGTACATATATATCTATTATTTTTCAGGTTCTTTTCCCATTTAGGTTATTACAGAGTATTGAGTAGAGGTCCCTGTGCTATACAGTAGGTCCTTGTTATTTATTTTAAATATAGTAGTATATACATGCCAATCCTAAGCTCCAGATTTATCTGTTCCCCCCACCTTTACCTTTTGGTAACCGTAAGTTTGTTTTCTGGTGATTTTGCTTCTGTCTTGTAAATAAGTTCATTTGTATGTTGTTTTATTTTTTTTTAAAGATTCTGCAGATAAGTGATATATGGTACTTGTCTGTCTGACTTACTTCAGTTAGTATGATAATCACCATGTCCATTCATGGTGCAAATATTATTTCATTCTTTTTAATCTGCCATTATTTTTAATCTGAAATCTAAATGTTTTATTCACAGGGAGGAATACAAGTTTTTCATCCATAATTCAGAAGCTAAGTAAATAACAAAATGAAGCCAGTAAAGCATCTGTTGACCTCTAGTAGTAAATTGGTAAACGTTCCAGAATTAACATTTAAAAAAGGACTATTTAATTCACCATTGTCACCTAAACCAAAGGAAAAACATAGTGCAAAATTAGCACGTGAGAAACTTGAACCAATGGTCTTAAGATCTCCGCCAACAGGGGAATCCATTGTAAGGTATGCTTTGCCCATCCCATCAAGTAAGACAAAGGAGTTAATAGCAGAAGATGAATTGATCAGGAAAATTACGAAACATCTGAAGATGGTAAGATACTTGTTGATGCTTGATCCCCATAACCATTTCCAGGTTTAGTGATTTCCTGAGAAGACTCACTGGACTCAGCATATGGTCATATTGATAGCTAAGATATAGTGAAAGAAAAGCAAAATCAGCAAAAGGAAAAGGCACACGGGATGAAGTCTGGAGGAAACCAGGTCCAGGCTTCCTAGATTTCTTTACCTTTGGAGTCACACAGGACATGCTTAATTCCCCCAACAGCAAATTGTGGCAACACATGCGAAATGTATACCAGAAGAGTTGATTAGAGACTCAGTGCCCAGGGTTTCACTGAAGGTTGGTCACCTTGGTACTCTCTGCCTTTTTGTTGTTAACTAGCTCAGTTGTATCAGATTGTTTGTGAGTCCATGGAGTGCTGCACACCAGACTCTCTTGTCCTTCACTGTTTCCCAAAGTTTGCTCAAACTCATGTCCATTGAATCAATATGCCATCCAACCATCTCATCTTCTGTTGCCCCCTTCTCCTCCTTCCCTCAATCTTTCCTAGCATGAAGAGTCTTTGCCAGTGAGTTGGCGCTTCCCATCACATGGCCAAAGTTTAGAGCTTCAGCATATGTCCTTCCAATGATTATTCAGGGTTGATTTCCTTTAGGATTGACTGGTTTGAACTCCTTATTGTCCAAGGGACTCTCAAGAATCTTTTCCAGCACCATGATTCGAAGGCATCAATTCTTCAGTGCTCAGCCTTCTTTATGGTCCAACTCTTACATTTGTACCTGACTACTGGAAAAGGCAGAGTTTTGACTCTACAGACCTTTGTGGGCAAAGTGATGTCCCTGCTTTTTAATACACTGTCTAGGTTTGTCATAGACAAAGAGCAAACATCTTTTAATTTCTTGACTGCATGTACCAAAATTCTATACTCCCTGAAGGAAAGCAGGTGTTCAGCATAAATCATCCAGTTTGTACAGTGAATTTAGGGACAGTGAGCCATTATCATCAGTCAGTAAACAGTGGGAACCCTCCTGAAATACAGGTTCTGAGACATAAGCAGGTCTTTCTAAGTTTCATGCTTGCTCTGTTAGCTCTTCTCTGCACTTTAGAAACTCTAGCTCTCAGTGATGGGGAGGGAGGTGGTGGTAATCTCCCTTTCTCTGAGTTTCTTTTTTGCACATTGATCCAGAATTGAGTTGTACATGTACCCAATACCAAGTGAGAACAGTGAGGGATAGCACAAATATGAAAAAAATATAGATCATCAAACTTGCAAAGTACAAGTGCGCTCAAAGTTCAAAGGGTTAGCTCAGAGAATTTCCTTTAAAAACATATTGCCTTGTGGTCTCCATCTCTCTATTTTCCCTACTCCAAGGAAGAAAGGAAAGTCAAGTCAGATTTTGAGGAATACATTGGTGGTAAGTAAAGTTGATGCTTCAGCTGTTCATAGACTCCCTTCAGTGCAGAAATGAAAGTCATATAGGGCCTGTCTTCATTGAGAGGAATCAAGGACTATGGCTTATACTGCTTCTTCAGGATGATATGAGGTGGAAAATTTAAGTGTATGGCACTGGCAGAAACAAGTCTTACTGCTAAAATGATTCTGACATGGTTGATTAAGTACATTTTTATGTTTAATGTATTAATAAAATTTTTACACCTTAAGTACATAATTTGCTTTGATTTTTCTCATAGGTGGTTTCTAGTTTGGAAGAAGCCTATGCATATGGCACTCAAAATGGAGAAAAAGCAGTTGTGAAGCCTGAACTTGAAGGATTAGCCTTTTCTGTAAGTGTTTGTAATGCTAATGTAGAGACATTAATGCTGTAAAGGGCTGAGATTTTCTTTTAGAATCTGTGTATGTTCTCAGAATGAATTCCCCATCCAGGAAAATGATCGTCTTCGGAAACCTGAAAGTACTGTACTGATTTTTTCCATCCTCTGCCAAATACTTATCTTAAAGTTTAATTAAAGCATATCTGTATCTTGAGCTTACTTTTGATGCTAATGTATCTCCTGCTTAATATTTAAGCTTTGGTTGGAGTTGATTTGCAAATGTATAGTCTTTATTGGGTTTAGAAATTGTTTTTCTATTTTTTGGTTTGCTAAATAAAAGAATCCCGAATATTGAAGAGGTTATTGAATTTTAACAAATATCTTTGTTGTATATATTGAAGTGATGTAACTATTAAGGTGATTCCATTTTATAATTAATTTTGTTAGTTAGGGATTGGGCTTGGCTTCATGTAATAAAACAACTATGTTGGATCTTTCAAACCCAACCACTGTGTTGGGTCTTTCAAACACAGTATGTTTCTTGGTTTATTTGATTTCTTGTTTGATTTATTTTTTCAGCATTCTGTATTTTCATCATACAGATCTGGTATATTTTTCTTGAAATCTACACATTAATATCATGCTACTTGGAATGATTTTTAATGGCATTGTGTTTTTAATTTTTTCCTTGTTTGTTATTAGTGTATATAAATATGATTGATTTTCGTGTGCTGATCTTATATCTTGCAAACTTGCTCAATGTACTTTTTTTCATTCTAGGATTTTTCTATAGATACTTTAGGGTTTTGTACATAAGCAATTATGTCTTCTTCAGATAAGGACAATTTTACTTCTTGTCCAATCTGAATGTTTTTATTTCCTCCTTTCTCTCTCTCTTTTTGGCCATGCTATATGGCATGCAGGCTCTTAGTTCCCCCACCAGGGATCGAACCCCACATCCCTTTTATTGCAAGGCAGATTCTTAACCACCAGGAAAGCCCCTATTCCCACTTTCTAAAGAGTTTTTTATCATAAGTAGATGTTGAATTTTATCAGAAACGTTTTCTGCATCTGTTGAGATTATCATATGGTTTTTATTCTTCAATTTGTTAATATGGTGTATCACATTGATTGCAGATATTGAAAAACCCTTGCATCCCTGGGATAAATCCCACTTGATCTTATTTTATGGTCCTTGTATTGTTGGAGTAGGTTTGCTAGTATTTTGAGGATTTTTTTTTTTTTTTATCTATGTTTATCAGTGATACTGTCCTATAATTTTCTTTTTCATGGTGTGTCTGATTTTTGTATCAGGGTGATGATGGCATAGTAGCATGAGTTTGGAAGTGTTGTTTCCTCTACAGTTTTTTGGAATATTTTCAGAAGGATAGGTGTTAATTCTTCTCTAAATATTTGGTAGAATTCACCTGTGAAGTCATCTGATCCTTTTGTTGGGAGTTTTAAAATTGCTCTTTCAATTTCATTTCTGATAATTGTTCATATTTTCTATTTGTTTTTGATTTCTTTGAGGTTGTCATTTTATTGGCATATAGTTGCTCATGGTAGTCTCATAATCTTTTGTATTTCTATGGTTTGGTTGTAACTTTTGCTTTTTCATTTCTGATTTTATTGATTTGTGTCCTCTCCCTTCTTTTCTTGATGACTCTAGCTAAAAGTTTATCAATTTTGTTTAATTTTTCAAAGAACTAGCTTTTAGTTTCATTGGTCTTTTCTCTTTTTTTTCTTTTAGTCTATAATTTATTTCAGCTCTGACTCTTTATGATTTCTTTTATTCTACTAACTTGGGGTTTTATTTGTTCTTTGTAGTTGTTTTAGATATAAGGTTAGGTTGTTTGAGATCTTTCTCCTTGCCAGAGATAAGCTTGTATTGCTATAAACTTCTCTCTGTAGAACTGCTTTAGCTGCATTCCATAGGTTTTGGGTCATAATGTTCTCATTTTCATTTGTCTCTGGGTATTTTTTTATTTCATCTTTGATTTCTTTTTTTTTTCCATTTGTTTTTATTAGTTGGAGGCTAATTACTTTACATCATTGCAGTGGTTTTTGTCATACATTGACATGAATCGGCCATGGATATACATGTATTCCCCATCCTGATCCCCCCTCCCACCTCCCTCTCCACCCGATCCCTCTGGGTCTTCTTCAGTGAACCATTCGTTGTTTAGTAGCATGTTGTTTGGCCTCCATGTACTTGTGTTTTTTGCAGTTTTTTTTTCCTTGTAATTGATTTCTGGCATCATAGTGTCAGACAGTTTGCTTGATACGATTTCAGTTTTCTTACATTTAGTGAGGCTTACTTTGTGGCCCAGCGTGTGTCCTGGATAATTTCCATATATACTTGAAAAAGAATGTGTATCTTGATCAAATTTATCTTCATCTTCTATTTGTGACCTTAATGTAGGTGGGAGGAAATCCCCAAGTATTCAAATGGTCTCATTTTCTATTGGTGAATAGTAATTCTGGTTAATTCATTTTACCACTCTCCTGAATGACTGGTTTCCCCTTCTGTCTCCTATATGACTAGGTTTTTACCATGATAACAAAAATATGAACTTGAGTGTGTTTAAAATGTAATGTTGAGGGAACATACTCCTCCTGGAGAACATTCTGTTGAGAATGTTGTAACTGTGTATAAGCATCTGAGATTTTTAAAAAATCTTTGGTCAATTGTCTGATTTACAAATCAGTGCTCTACTAAAAGAGATTCAGTCATTGTGACATTTTAATATATAACTTTTTCTTCAAAAATTTCTATTGCTCATTAAAAGAGGATGAAAAAATATACCTCTTGGCAAGTATACTTATAATCAGAAGTCATAGTCAGCATTTGATTTTAACACAAAGCATTATTATAATGCATATTTAAGTGTATATGTATTTTTTGCTACCCCTAAATTTTAGGAGTCTGAGGCTGGAATGCCTGATTTTTTGCATCTGTGTAGAGGAAAATGTAAGGAGAGACATAGTTGGGTTTATGTCATTATTGAACCACTTCTCAGAATGTACTTTCTTTGCGGGAGAATTTGCTAGTGTAGTGAACATGGTTTCCTATCTTGATGCATTTCAAGGGACATAACTTACACATACAAAACTATTTTCAAAAATAGTTAAATATACTGAAATATGGATGGATATGTGTATGAATTCCGAAATAAAAATGACTGTGTTTTGCTGCTTTTTTCATAAGGTTGGGGATGATCTGACTTCATTCTTAATATGTTGTTCACAATTTGCAACTCAGTTAGAAGAAGCAGCTAAGGAAGAACATAATGTATGTATTCTGTGTAAACTGCCAAGTGTAAGATATTACTTAATATTTTAATCATAAGTTAAAAACAATATTAATAATAAAACAATATAAACTGATAATTACTAAATTATTAGTTATTAGTAACATTTTAGTAAAAAAATACTTAGTTATATTTGCTGTTTGATCTTAAATATGACAATCCAGTCAGCAATATTAGTCTAGATATAGTGCCTTTAGTTCAGTTCAGTCGCTCAGTCATGTCTGACCCTTTGCAATCCCATGAATCTCAGCACACCAGGCCTCCCTGTCCATCACCAACTCCCAGAGTTTACTCAAACTCATGTCCATCAAGTCGGTGATGCCGTCCAGCCATCTTATCCTCTGCCGTCCCCTCCTCTTCCTGCCCCCAATCCCTCCCAGCATCAGGGTCTTTTCCAATGAGTCAACTCTTTGCATGAGGTGGCCAAAGTATTGGAGTTTCAGCTTCAGTATCAATCCTTCCAATGAACACCCAGGACTGATCTCCTTTAGGATGGACTGGTTGAGTCTCCTTGCAGTCCAAGGGACTCTCAAGAGTCTTCTCCAACACCACAGTTCAAAAGCATCAATTCTTTAGCACTCAGCTTTCTTCACAGTCCAACTCTCACATCCATACATGACCACTGGAAAAACCATAGCCTTGACCAGACTGACCTTTGTTGGTAAAGTAATGTCTCTGCTTTTTAATATGCTTTCTAGGTTGGTCATAAAGCCTTAAGCTGTTATAAAAGGCATTGGAAAGCATTATTTGTTATCATAGGCATTTATTTCTGTGACTTTTCCTTTATGAACAGCATTGACTGGGTCATTAGTATTTTCATATGTAGTATTTATGTTTTATTGATTTTAAAGTAAGTATGGACTGCCAGGAAAGTCCCAGGCTTATTCTGATTTCTTTCAGTGAAGCAACTTTTCTTCTGCCTGAATGTATGTAATAAAATTTTTCTTTAATAGTGTAATTCAGAAGTTTTACTTGGTTGTGATTGAGTTTGGTTGTTTTTTGTGGCAAAAGTTATCAGTTTAGCATTACATTTTGAAAGTGGTAAATATTGGTATTTTAGACTGTGTGACAGGTTTTGTGTATTCATTTTCTCTCAATCTCCCAAACTAGTTCTTTGCATTTTCCACTAAAAAAAAGCAAGTAGTAGTGTAGTATTTTATATCTTGATTCTTAGACCTTTTAGTATAGCAAAGTTATATTTAAGAAATAGTGATGATAAGATATGCTTTTCATTGTACTATCTGCTCTGGGGAAAAAATAATGCTTTTCTGAGAGGAATTTAAATTTTATTTCTTACCTGTATTAAGAAAATACATGAAATCATGAATGTGAATTGAGTTTTTTAAATATAGATCTATAACGATGGAAAATTCTTTCTTAGAACTAAATTGTCTTGGGCAAGATATGCTAAAAACCATCTGTAAATATAAAATTGTTGTGATTTGGATTTGTTTGTGATTGGATTATAGATTTGTTTGTGATTGGATTATAGATTTATAGGGGTATTTTAGTAATTAGTGTACTTTGGTGATTAAAAATTTCAAAAAAGAGACTTGAATTAGATATTTTATGTTGTGAGAATTTTATTTTTAAGTGTTTTAATTAAAACTTTATTTTCCAGATTTTGGAATCTCTGTTTAAGGTATGTTCAATATATTGCTTACTATAATTTAATACAGAAATGCATATAAATGAAAGTTTTCCAAGTTTTGAAGAAATAAAAAATAAAAGCTTGCAAACTTGCTGCTATATATATTTAAAAATTTTATGTTTCAGTTTTATGTGGCATCAGCACCATTCTGAACACTAGGATAAAATGATATTTGATGTAGGGCTAATATTTGATACATAGACACACACATACACATAGACATATAGACTCATTTATTTCACTGCAGAAATTAAGTTGTCAATATTTCTTTTTGTTTTCTTTTTTTAAAAGTGGTTTCAGCGACAGGTCAATCAGATGGAAGAGGTAAGCATAGCATTTCTTATTAATTAAATTAATATTTTGTCTCATTTGAAAACCAGTGTGAAGTATAAATTTAAGAATTTTAATAACCATTGGTTATAATCTTTTGACTTAGAAAGAGGAGGAATAAATAGGTAGAATACAATGTTTTTTAGTGATTTATACACAATATTCTTGCATTGTCTGGCCTACTCTGAATTTGACTTATTATTTTTTTCCATAATTTACTTAAAATAGTAAATAAGTGACAAGAGGTCTTATCAACTTAAAGATTTCTCCTGTGTAAAAATTAATTCATAGTATGATATATGCTTATTCATAAAATTTTATATTTGTTTTTCTTTGAATTTAATGTTACTTTAGTGATTTTTTTAATACTTTCATTTTCACATTTTTGCCACCAGTTTGAAGAATACTGGTCCCTATCCTTATGGGCTTTAAATTCTACTTTGAAATTTATAAATGTTATTAATACAGCAGAATGATCTCCTGGGTAGCTTTAGGGAGTTAGAGAATTATACTAGTTCTACGTTGGCTGTGTTTATTGTTTAGTCCAATTAAAGTTCTGAGAGAAGATGCCTGTGGGGAATGTGTCATACCAGGGACCTGCCAGAAAGCCATCCGTGGGGGTGGGTGCTGTTAAAACTTGCTGTAGGTGAGTACTACTAGTTACCGTGTGTACTGCCCTAGGATTAAGCAGAGAGAGATGACAGAACTTGGAAGAAAAGCTTCTTCCTCCTCTTAAGTTTTCAGGACCCTCTGCTGACCAAGGTTAATATCATGCTGCCTGTCAAGATAGAGATGTTCCACTGCTATAAATAGGGACAATGGAGAGTGGATTTTTGATGACAGGCAGTATATGGATAATTGTAGCTGATTGCTTTGTCACTTTTTAGGTTAGTTTATAATTGGTGTCCTCTTATTTGGGATCTTGCCTTTGTCCATGAGGTATTTATCTCCTGCTTCCCTTCCATTTATTCTTCATCCCACAATCTCAGACTTCCAGTACATTGCCTGGTACTTACTTCGCGCTGTTACCTCTTTAATCCCATTCCAGGTAGCTGTTACTAAGGTGAAGTATCTGTTTTAAGTTCCCAGTGTTAGAATTTCTCTTTGCTATGCCCCCAAAACTATGGCTTAACTACTTTTTTCCCAACTTATCCTCTCATCACAAGGATTAGCATTCTTTTTTAAATATTTTGAGTTGCCTTTAACTGATCCTGCTAAAATTGTTATTTAACGTACTTAAAATCCCTATATATTAAAAAAATAGAAGATTGGATTTGAGTTTTGACATATTAAAACCAACACTTACTGTAGTTCTGTTGCTAGGCACTTGCTCATATATTTGTAAAATTAGTATTTGATTATAGCTATAGATTGATAATATAAAATTTACTTAGATATGATAAGTGATATGATGAAATTTTTTTGAGTATGGGAGCAAAATGTGTATTTCCCAAGTAACTGGATAATTTTATTATTTTTAGATAAGCAAAGATCAAACTTTTTCAGAAGCAGAATTTCCAAGTCCTGATAAAACAGTCAGTTTAAGCATTGCACAAATAGTAAAGCAGGTACACAAACTTGAAGAACTGAAAAATCGCCTTAAAGAAGGGTCTAAATACACCTTCAGAGAACGGTTGTCTAAACCCAAGTAAGTAAAATGTTAAAAGCATTAAAAGAATTGAAAACAGTAAGAGTAGGTATATAATTAGTAACACATACAAGATAATGGTTCGGGTATTATACTGTACATAGAGCTTCTAAATCAAATTAGAAGATATAATTAGCTTGCTCCTACTTGAAATTTTTAGTAGTTTGAAATGGTTCTAGGCACCTGTGCCTATTAAAATTCAGTTTAATTAAAAAACCAATTTTTTAGTCATACTTGCCACATTTCAAGTGCTTAGTAGCCACATATAGCTATTGTTTGACAGTTCTGTTGAACGCTGCTGGCTTTAAAATATTTGGTTTATAAACTCTTTTCTCAGTTTGATTTGATAGCTTCCATAATATATTTAAGGCATAGTGAAATATTTCATTGTTCAAGAACACCATCACTGGTGTTGCATATGAACAGGGATATGTTCCAAAGAATGAATTACTGCTTTTTAGTTGAAAAAAATCCTTTTTTTCGGTAGGTGGGAGGAAGATTAAAATGAATGATTACAAGAATATTTCTGTTGTCTGTGGTTTAGCTCTCTTGAAATGAAATAGATGAGTAAATCATCATATAATATCTTCATAGGGTATCTTCATAGAATATTTTGTACCTCTGTGGTTATTATTTTTCCTTGAACACTTCAGATCTACTCTTTCAGCAATTTCAGGTATATGATAGCAGTGGTATTATGAACAGTAAACACCATGTTGTACATTAGATCTTTAGAACTTTTTCAACTTATAACTGAAAGTTTGTACTTTGTGACCAACATTACCCCATCTTCCTAACCCCCTTCAGCCCCTGGCAGCCACCATTTTACTTTCTGTTTCTAAGAATTTGAGTTTTTAGCCTCTACATGTAAGTGAAATAACACATTAATCATCTTTCTCTGACTTACTTTGCTGGGTGTAACATCATCCAGGTTCATCCATATTGTCACAAATGGCAGCATTTCTTTCTATATTTGACATAAAATATTTTTACTCTGCTTTTATTTCCAACCCAAACTATAATTTTCCTTTTTAAAATTTTTTTGGTACTAGAAAAAAGTGTTCATGTGTAATTTATATTCTTTAGGCACACACTGTTTTGTTCTTGGTGGTAGTGCCAAATATGTGAAGAACCAGGATAATATGGGCACCAACTGATTATAATAGATATCCTGTATGTGCTAAGGATTACCCCTTTAGGTGCTGGATCCTGGGAAGGTTGAGGGGCTAGGGCAGTTGGCAGAAACTTGAATGACTCAGGGCAGAGCTGTTTTCCAATTGGGTCAGTGGAATTCCAGTGTTACTTTTACATAATACCACTGTATGAATATCAGACCTTTTCTCCCTTAGTGAGAAGTTAGCTTGAACAAAGTTCCAGTTTTGAGATATTTCACTTAGTATATCTGATTTATAATCTTCAAAAACTTCATAATTTGCCCAATTATTTCCAATTCATTCTGCTAAACTTCCTCAGTACTTTCTATCCCCTTTCATTGTAGCTTAAATTGTTTACATTATTGGCAAGCAGGCAGCCCTGAAGTAACAGCACAGTGGTAACTATGAGATTGGCTTATCATACTTCGGAATATTAGGATAGTACGGAGACAGTGGACAACAAATGGTCTTGAATTACTTAGGCCAGCAGCAAGAGCAAGATCAGCACGGTGTCAGCTCCCTGTGTTCCTTGTTCCACAGGACGACACGGAGCAGAAGGGACCAGATGACAGGCTAGAGAAGCAATTTGTTGCTGAAATGAAGGAGCAAAGTCTAAACTAGAGGCATGCATCTTTATAATGTTTTTATTTTTGATTATTTTTTATTGGAGTATAGTTGATTTGCAGTGCTGTGTTAGTGTCTGCTGTTTGCATCTTTATAGTCTTAATGGAAGCCTTCAGGTGGGCTGTAAGGAAGAGAGGGATAGAAAGCCCGGTGTTCAACTGAAAATAGGGGATAGATGAAAAAGGAGTTTGTGTCAGTCTTCCATGAGACAGGAATGAGAAACTCTTCACCAGGCTTATCTTCTCTTTCTCTCACAGAAATTTTAGGGCATTCTACTAAGATTTGGATCTGGCTGCTGTCAAGTCTTATTTATGTAGATTTTATAGACCTGTGTAATGTTGATAGAGTGCCCTGGTAGAGCTTCTTTATAGCACTGATTCTCAGATGGGGGCTGTTTTGTGCCCCAGAAGACACTTGTATGTAGACACTTTGGTTGTCACAACTAGGGAGTGGGAGAATGCTCCTGGCACTTACTAGGTACAGGTCAGAGATGCTGCATTCTAAAATACACAAGACAGGCCCCTACAACAAAGAATTATCCAGTCTAAAATGTTGATAGTAATGGGGTTGAGAAATCCATCCTGTAGTGATCTCTTCTTTTTTTACTTTTTTCTAGTCCCCTATTGTTTGACAGCAAATAATATACCTAATAGTTTTATTGTGAATTAATCAATGATTAGCTACCAAGTTAACTTCATAAGTTATTAATTTGATTAGTCATATGTAAGTTTTCCTGTCAAGATTGTTAACTTTCTTAAGATCAGAACCAGTCATGCTTGTCTACATATTTCCTATCACATGTAATAAACAGTAAAGAAATATAAGTTTTTATGGATACCTGAATTCAACTCATTTGTTCCCCATCCCTAACCATATCTGGTATAGTAACTTATCCTAGTAAAACTTTCCGTTTATCAACAACCATTTTTTTTTACATTAAACATTAACAAAACCCTTTCATTTTACAATGTTAAAATAGAAAATATCCTTAATATTTAAGGCTACTATTTATTATGCGGTAACTTCATTTATCTCCATCTGTCAGTGACTAGACTTAAAGGAATGAAGGGAATGATACTTGTGTTGGTTGACTTCAATGGGAACTGCATAACAGAGCCTTGGTTCTGAGGTTCAGTTATAAATTCACCTGTGCTATCTATTGTGAAGCATGGGATTAATTTCATATGTTACTATTAGTACTTGAAATTTAAGCATCAGATGTGTGCTAGGTATTTTCCTAGTTTATGTGTGTCTTTTGGTCCTACAACTACTTTATGAAATACATACACTAATACCCAATTTTGATAGATTAAGAAACTGAGGCTCAGGTTAAATGACTTACCCAAGATCACATAGTTAGTAAATGGATAAAACAAGTTTTGAGCCAAGCTGTCTGACTCTAAAAGTCTGACACTTGTGCTCTTAACAATTGATTACATATTAATAATACACTGTTACAAAGAAATCTCATGCTTATACCAAATATATTTTTACTGGTTTCATTTATGTGGTTGTTGGTATACCTAATTATATTCATGGAATACATCATATACACGGTATGGCTAGTTATATTCATGGAATATGCCCAATTCATGGAATACATTCTGTGAATATATAGAGTTCATAGAATTACATAGTTTGATACTTTTTACTTATTTGCTAGGTAATTTACCTTAATGTCTGAATAAAGATTAAAGAAAACATTAAATTTTATTTTACTAACTGCATATGTCTAAAGCATGTATTCTGGTTCTTAAGTGTAATTTAAATTGTTTGATAATATGTTTTATTTATTTAAATTTTAACAGGGATAGGGAAATGCCACCAGAAGATGTGCAAACTTATGAAACTGTGAAGCAGAAAATTGAAGGTGATAATATTTTGCACAAGTCGAGCCTTTATAGGGTTTCCTAACTACACTAACATTTTGAAATTTAAAGTGTAAAAATTTATAGCCATATAAATTATACAATGATAAATTTAAATATGTTCAATAGTAGTTGACCTTTTCAGTAAAAGTTTATGTTTCAGATTCTGGGAGTATACAAAAATAATAAAACTTGGTTTTTACCCTCAACATCCACAACATGATGTGGATACAAGTACATTGTGTATTATCTTAGTATAGTGTAATGCATGAAAAAGATATGTGTTATTTGCAGTGATTCCACAGAAAGGAGCCAACTTGTTCAGCCTGAGACTTAAGGTTTTATGCAACCTTAAAGGGCTTCCCTGCTGGCCTCAGTGGTAAAGAATCTGCGTGTCAGTGCAGGAGATGGGGATTCCATCCCTGGGTCTGCAGCATCCCTTGGAGAAGGAAATGGCAACCCACTCCAGTTTTCCTGCCTGGGAAATCCCATGACAGGGGAGTCTGAAGGGCTACAACTCGTGGGGTCGCAGAGTCAAACACAGCGTGTGACTGAACAACAACAGATAGGTAAGATTTTGTCAAGGTGAGAAGGGAGATATTTGGTATTTTAAGAAGAGGGTATAGCATGAGAAACAGCATGAATAGGGAATTACTGCGTGTGCATGTTCATTTGCTTCAGTTGTGTCCAACTATTTGCAACCCCATGGACCACAGCCCTCCAGGCTCCTCTGTCCATGGGATTCTCCAGGCAAGAATACTGGAGTGGGTTGCCATGCCCTCCTCCAGGGGATCTTCCTGACCCAGGGATCAAACCCACGTCTCCTCTGTGTCCTCCATTGGCAGGTGGGTTCTTTATCACTAGCGCCTCCTTACTACTGGTATGGTATTCAAGTATGGAGTAATAGGAAGGGATAAGATAGGAGAAAGCCAATGCCAAGGGATTAAATGCTGTGCTAAGGAACACTTTCTCCCCCCCGCCCCATATTTAATTAGGGAATCATTGAAGACTTTTTTTTTATAGGGAAGTGACATGTTGAATTTTAGATTTTTCTGGCCACATTGAGAAGCTATATTTGGGGGTTGGGAGTAATAAAGGGAAGTTAACTGCTATATCTTAAGTGTGTGATAAGTGCCTGTATTAGAAAAAGGGGGCAGATTTGGATATGAAAGGAAGGGAGATTAGATGATGGTAACCGTAACTGGGAGAATATTAGAGGAAAAACAGGTTTTGTTGAGAAAATGGTGAGTTCACATCACTCAGTTGTTAATGCACATTTTTTTAGATGTTACAATTTGTTGCCTGATTTAGAGCGTCTACAATATTGGCAGCTTTGTTGCTTTTCTTAGGCTTTTTGTGTTCTCTTTTTAAAAAAATATTTATTTAAATTAGGGAGGTGGGAGGGGGGACTGGGATGGGGAATACATGTAAATCCATGGCTAATTCATTTCAATGTATAACAAAAACTACTGTAATGATGTAAAGTAATTAGCCTCCAACTAATAAAAATAAAAAAAGAAAAAATAAAAATAAAAAAAAAATGAAAAATATTTATTTAAATTTGGTTGTGCTGGGTCTTCGTTGCTGTGCAGGATTTTCTCTAGTTGGAGAGAGCTGGGGCTGCTCTCTAGGTGCAGTGCACAGGCTTCTCTCTGTTGCAGAGCGTGCTTGGGCTTCAGTAGCTGTGACTCACAGGCTCCTGAGTTCAGACTCAATAGTTGTGGTGCAGACTCAGTTGCTCTGCTCCACGCATCATCTTCTTCCCCAACCAGCGATTGAACCTGTGTCTCCTTCACTGGCAGGCGGATTCTTTCCCAGTGAGCCACCAGGGAAGCCCAAGAATTTTCTCTTGAATGAGTTATTAAAAAACTATGAAATCTAAATTCAATTGATATATATGATTGATATTGAAACTTATAACTATTAATTATTTCAGAATTCATAAAAACATACTCAACTGAAGAAATTACAGATGTTTCTGTGACTGAGCCACGTAAGTTTCTACTCATTGAACATCATTGTATTAATAACCTCTTTATATTAATTTCTATAATTTTCTATAATTCAAAATAATACTTGTTAATTTAAAACATAAATTCCCTGGAATTTGGAGTCATAAAGTTGAGCTGGCAATCAAGTAAATATTGAAATTCCTAGTTAGCTACTGCCTACCAGTAGCTAAAAAAAAAATACTGTTGTTTTTTTTTTAACAGACTCATTTTTAAGGAGTTCCATGTTATTACTTGGAATGGAGGATTTTTAATTATGATTAGACTATGCTACAAAAGTATTGCAGAGGTGGTAGACCTTCGAGGAAAGAGCAGTGATAAATTTAAGAGGTCATTTGTAGACTCTGTTACTGTGAATTACAGATCATCCCATATATACTTTGACTGTAGCTGAGTACCTATCAATTCATGAATATAAAGAGCTGCTAGAACTCAAACTTCTGAGTACTTATCAACAGAAAGGAGAAACTGCTTTTTTTTATGTCTTAATACTGGGGAGAATTTTCAAACAACCATGTGTGCTGTGGAATACTGTTTTGAAAGTGGAAAATAAGACTTGGTTAGAAAAAGTTGATGATAATCCTGTTCTCTTTCAGCTTCAGCTATAAACTCTAACAGTGTCATGTTTAAATGAAGGCCTGCTATACATTCTATGGTACTCCCAAGATCTGTAGAGACTTCTGATGTGAGGCAGCCCTGACTGACTAGGTTGGATAGAAAGATATCTAGAGCTTTGGAGTAGACAGTAAAAGTCTCTGTCTGCTTTAGGGGGAACCATTTGCATGTCTGTGGAGCTCTCTCTTCCTCAGTCTGTGCAGCTGTCTTCTGTCTACTACTGCGCCCTGTGAATTCTGGCTGCTTTGGCCTCTCCAGTCTCTAAACCTTGTCTCCGAACTCAAGGAGACGAGTAATTTATCTGGGTTTCCCTTCCTTATGCTGTGGTCTGGGACTTAGGCAGTAAAAGGTAGGCTCGTCACTGAGCAATTCCGTGTTTTCCTTCTGTGAGGGATTACTGCCTTGTCCCTTCTGTTTTCTGGTGTCTGAATACTATATCATATATTTGTCCAGTTTTTAATAGGTTTAAAGTGAAAGTGTAACTCTGGTCCCTGATGCACCATCATGGACAAAAACAGAGGTCTCTGTGCCCACTTTTAGACCAGTGGAACACATCTTCTAATCATAAAACCATTCTAAAATAATAAAATATACAAGTAGAAATTTTACTCATAATTTTTAAGGAAAAATTTGGCTGCTTTAAAATAACTTTTAAACCACTTTGTTAACCAGAGACACTCTGCTCGGAAAAGGGTCTTAACTATAATAGAACAGCTCAATGAGACTTGGATTCTCTGATCTTTTTTGTTCTGTTTTAAGGTCATTCATAATGAGGTCTTGAGGAAGATCAATTGAATGATTTCCCAAGCTGTTCCATTTAGCAATGGATGTGTAATATTCCCATCTACACGTTCTATGCTACTGAGGTGAAATTCCTGAACTAGTAGAATTGTAGATATGGGCCCATTATAGGGGCTGCCATAACAAATTGCCATAGACTGAGTGGATCAAGCAATAGAAAGGTATTTCTCTCATGGTTTTGGAGGCTGATAAGTTCAAATCAGTGTTCCATCCTGGTCAGGTTCTGGGGAGAGCTTTCTTCCTGTATTGCAGATGGACATCTTCTTGCTGTGTCCTTAAATAATGGAGAGACCATGAGGAGAGAACAAGCAAGCTCTCTTGTGTCTCACATGGCTCTATTCTCATGATTTAATTGTCTCTCAAAGACCCCATCTCTAATTATTATTGTATTGGAGATTAGGATTTTAACATGAATTTGGGTGAACACAAATATTCAGTCCATAGCAGGGTCCTTTCTCCCTCTTGAGAACTGTTTTTCAGATTGTGGCATAAATAATACTTCATTTTTTGTAATCTTTTACTGTATACAGGACATAATTTAAAATTTTGTGCTATGCTTTTATTGGATTAATTTTAAAATATTGTTTGTTACACCATATTTCTGTACAAGCATTATTAAATACTCTCTTACCTATAAGAGATTCTGAATTTTATTCTTCTGAAGCTGACTTCTCCCAATATACTCTTTGAATAATCAGGGAGTACTGACCCTCCCAAAGCTAGGTCTCTGGTTTACTTAGCTTCTTGATATACTTGATTTATTTGGTCCCCTTTTTATGTGTTGCATATTTCTGCTGTTTCCTCATTGTTTGGTTCTCACATATAGCAGTGAGTTTTGTCAGCATATACCTATAGCCTCTGCCATTTGTAATACCTTTAAATGTTTTCCTTTTTTATTTTAACAATAGAAACTTCTCCTGTAACTAATCAATTGAATACCATGTTGAAAATATTTGAAAATCAGGCAAATAAATTAGAAAGGTAAGCTTCTAAAATAACTCCTTTTCCTCATTATAAATACAGGTGCATATTTATTTCAGATAAACTGGAAACATAGAAAATAAAACTACTGTTAAACATTTTAATTTTGTTAATTTTTATGATATGTTTAATTTTGAAGCTTAAAATTATAATCATACAGATTGTGAAGCTATATGACCACAACAGAAAATAGTATGTCAATTCCTCAAAAAATATGATTAGTTTTTTTGGATCATGAAGTGGAGATACAGCAATTTCATTTCTGGGAATGTAACCCCCCCCCCCCCAAATTGAAGTTACAGTCTTGAAGAGATATTTATACAGCCATGTTCACTGTAGCATCATTCACAATAGCAAAGAGGTGGAGGCAACCCAAGTATCCAGTGATGGATGAATGGATAAAGAAAATGTGTCATCTACATACAGTGGAATATTATTCATCCTTAAAAAGGAAAGAAATTCTAACGTATGGTACAACATGGATGAATCTTGAGGACCTTAATGCTGAGTAATTATAAGCCAGTCATAAAAGACTAAATTGTGTGATTTCACTTATGAGGCATTTTAAGTAGTCAGATTCACCCAGAGAGAAAATAGAATGGTGGTTGCCAGGAGGGATGAGGAATGGGAAGTTCTTTCTCTATGGGTATAGAGTTTCAGTTTTTCAGGATGAAAAGAGCTCTGAGAACTCAGAATAGTCAAAGAAATCTTAAGAACAAAGTTAGAGGTCTCATACTTCAGTGATTTTAGCTCTGTATACACCTCTAGTACTCAAGATAATGTAATACTGGTGTAAGGATAAACCTATATAGATCAGTGGACTAGAATGAATGGAAATAATGTCCAGAAATAAATCATTACATTTATGGTTAACTGATTATCAAAATGGAGGTCAAGACCATTCAGTAAGGAAAGAATAATTTTTTTTAATAACTGTGCTTAGAGAACTGAATATCCATATGCAAAAGAATGAAGTTAGATCCTTTTCTTTGTGCCATACACAGAAATTAATTCAAAATTACCAGATGTAAATTTCAGAGCTAAAACTAAACCTTTTAAATACAGGAGTAAATATTTTTACTTAGAGTTAACCAGTGGTTTCTTAAGATATCAAAAGAACAACCAACTAAAGAAAAAATAAATGAACTTAAAAACTTGTGCTGCAAATAATACCATTAGGAACATGAGAAGACAATCATAGAATGTGAAAACTGTTCATAAATCATGTATTTGATATGGGACTTACACCCAGAATATACAAAAGCACTCTTAACCTCAATCATAAAAAAGATAAATAATCATATTTGACAATGGGCAAATAATCCAAATAAGTATTTTGCCGCACAGTATACACAAAGGGTCAATGAGCACAGGAAAAGATACTGAACATCATTAGTTACTAGGGAATCAAAACTATAGTCATATACCTCTTCATATCCACTAGCACTGTGATGGCTATAATATCAATGAAAACGATGGACAGTAACCAGTATTGGCAAGGATGTAGAGAAACTGGGACCCTCATACATTGCTGGTGGGAAAAAATAGTTTGCCAGTTGCTCAAAATATTAAATATACAGTTGACATATGACTAAGAAATTCTGTTTCTATGTTTATACCTAATAGAAATGAAAATATTTGTCCACACAAAAACTTGGACAAGTATATTCATAGTAGCATTATTCGTAATGGCCCCAAAGTGGAAACAACCCAAATGCCTATAAACTGACAAATGAATCAATAGAGTGATTATATCCATACAATGCAATGTTATTTGCAATAAAAGGAACACGGTACTAATACGTGTTACAAACATTATGCTAGGTATAAGAAAACAGTCTCAAAAGACCACGTATTTTGTAAATCTTTTTATATGAAATATATAGTGACAGAAAATAGACTTGTGGCTGCCAGGACCGAAGTAGTGCTGGGAAGAATGGCCAGTGAGTGCTAATGGCTACCACATTACTTTCTGAGGTAATTAAAATGTGCTAAAATTAGACAGTGGTGATAGTCACTGTTGGGCTTTACTGGTGGCTCAGCAGTAAAGAATCCACCTCCAATGCAGGAGACACAGGTTCAATGCCTGGGTCAGGAAGGTGTCCTGGAGAAGGAAATGGCAACCAACTCCAGTATTCTTGCCTGGAGAATCCCATAGACAGAGGTGCCTGGTTGGCTACAGTCCATGGGGTCGGAAAAGAGTTGGACACAACTTTAGTAACTAAACAACAACATTTGTTACTCAGTGAATATATTAAAAGGTATTGAATTGTATACTTTTAAGTGAGTTAATTTTATAGTATGTTAATCATAATAAAACTTAAAAAAATTCTGATTATAATTAATAAAAAGCTCATTAGTCCAAAAAATAGTTTATCTGTACTATGGAACAGTTGTCAGCAAGCTGCAGTCCATGAGTCAAATCTAGCCGGCAGCCTGTTTTTGTTTATAAAGTTTTGTTAGAACACAGCCACATCCACTGCAGAGCTGACTGGTAGTGACAAGACCAACTGGTTTGTAAAGTGTGAAAGACTCACTATCTGGTTCTTTATGTAAAAAGCTTGCCAAATCTTGATATGGAATCAGAAGTTGTATTTAAAGGGAGTGAGAAGAATCTATATTATATAAATAGATCTCAGAAGTTGTGTTAAGTGAAAAAAATGTTGAGAACAACATATCCAGTGATGTCATTTATGTGAAAAAGGAAACAAAACAAACATCCAGCTCATTAAGAAAAAGTATAGAATAGGAATGTAAAGTATCATATAAATCCATGGAGCAAGTCCTGGAAAGATACACAGCAATCAAACAGTGTCTCTGGGAAGAACATTGAAATTTTGGAATGCTAGTCAAAGTATACTCTAACCTTATTTATATTAATTTTTTTACATAGAAAATACATGATATTACATAAAAATAAAATTTTAAAATTATAATACATTTTAGGTATTTTTGGTTTGTTTTTCAGAGCTATGAATGAGCAACTGATGTTAGAGGCTGTAAGTATAGGGCTCTCAGTTTGAATTTGCACTTTGTCCTTGATGGTGCTGATAGATTCTAAAAATTGTCAGGATATGTAATGTTAAATAAAGATCTAATGCTTAGTTTATTCAAGAGAGTTTTATGCATATGACAGCTGGAAATTTTTGTCTATTCTTTTGATTTTAGTAGACTTTATTCTCATTCAGAAACACTTTTGAAATACTGAACTATAACATCCCACAGCCTGAACTTCCATTGTCAATCATAGTACCTTTGCCTATTTCAGCACCTCTTATAACTTCACTATGCAGATTAATACCAGTGGTTCATGATTTCTATGAGTTAATAAAGACTTTTTTACTTTAATAATTAAGCACCCAAATAACCTCTCCATATTAATATGCTTGCTTTTCATTATTAATGAAGTTATAATATTTGTTTTTAGAAATACACACAGATTCAAAGTAATCTCCAAGTATTATCAGAGGAGAAATTAATGCTGGAAAATGAACTACAAAAGTTGAAAAGTACAGAGGTTGGTTAATTTTAGTGTCTGAAACTGGCATACATACCAGTACTAATAATTGGTAGCCTGTGCTCAGTTATCTCCGACTCTTTGCAGCCCCATGAACTGTAGCCTTCTAGGCTCCTCTGTCTGGAATTTTCCAAGCAAGAATACTGGATCCGGTTGCCATTCCCTACTTGAGGGGCTCTTCTCGACCCAGGGGATTCAACCTGGGTCTCATGTCTCCTGCACTGGCAGACAGATTCTTTCTTACTAGTGCCACTTGAGAAGCCCTATTAATTGGCAGCAGCTGTGTTTTGAAAAAAAAGAATGCTGTGTTCTAAATTACCATCAGTCAGTTCAGTTGCTCAGTCATGTCTGACTCTTTGCGACCCAATGGACTGCAGCATGCCAGGCTTCCCTGTCCATCATCAACTCCCAGAGCCTACTCAAACTCATGTCCATTGCGTCGGTGATGCCATCCAACCATCTCATCCTCTGTAGTCCTCTTTTCCTCCCACCTTCAATCTTTCCCAGCATCAGGGTATTTTCCAATGAGTTGGTTCTTCGCATCAGGTGGACAAAGTTTCAGCTTCCGCATCGTCCTTCCAGTAAGCGAGGATTGATCTCCTTTAGGATGGACTGGTTGGATTTCTTTGCAGTCCAAGGGACTCTCAAGAGTCTTCTCCAACACTACAGTTTTCAAAAGCATCGATTCTTTGGTGCTCACCTTTCTTTGTAGTCCAACTCTCACATCCATACATGACTACTGGAAAAACCATACCTTTGAATAGACGGACCTTTGTTGACAAAGTAATGTCTCTGCTTTTTAATATGCTATCTAGGTTAGTCATAGTTTTTCTTCCAAGAAGCAAGCGTCTTTTAATTTCATGGCTGCAGTCACCATCTGCAGTGATTTTGGGGCCCCAAAACATAAAGCCTGTCACTGTTTCTGTTGTTTCTCCATCGGTTTGCCATGAAGTGATGGGACCGGATGCCATGATCTTAGTTTTCTGAATGTTGAGTTTTAAGCCAACTTTTTCATTCTCCTCTTTCACTTTCATCAAGAGACTTTAGTTTTTATTTGCTTTCTGCCATGAGGGTGGTGTCATCTACATATCTGAGGTTATTGGTATTTCTCTTGGCAATCTTGATTCCAGTTTGTGCTTCATCTAGCCCAGTGTTTCTCATGATGTACTCTGCATATAAGTTAAACAAGCAGGGTGACAATATACAGCCTTGACAGAGGACGAGATGGTTGTATGGCATAATGAACTCATTGGACATGAGTTTGAGTAACCTCTGGTAGAGGGTGAAGGACAGGGAAGCCTGGCATGCTGCAGTCCATGGGGTCGCAAAGAGACACCACTGAGCGACTGAAAAACAGTCTGCTGACTCCTTATTTATTCCTTTCCTGTTATCACCTGGCTTTCTCCTATAGCTTCCTAAATAGGATCTCCTAGATATGTATGTTTTGGTATGATGTTGCTAGAGAGTATCACTACATAAAAAGATCTGTTTCTGCTCTCTATATTCTTTTCTCTTGGCCTTGTCTATTCCTATACCAATACTTGAGACCTTTAATGATTACATATTAGAGTAAGTCCTGATATTTTGTAGGGCAAGTGAATCCACCTTGTTATTTATGAGAATTTATTTATTTTGGACCTTTGCACTTTCTTGTAAATTTTAGAATTAACTTGTCAAATTCTACACTTGCACTGAAGTTATACATCACATTTGAGAAATATATAGGCTATCAATATACATCTTTTCATTAACAAATATTAAATGTCTCAATTTTGGAATGTTTCATAATGCTTAAAATGAATATTATGATTTTCTTCTTAAAGGTCTTATTTGTCTTTGTTATGTTAATGTTAGGAGCTTTTATTTCTATGCTAAGTTAGTTGGTATATTAAAATATTTTAAAGCTATTGCTAGGGAAATGTATCAAATTTTTGTGTATTGTATTTTGCATCTACAAACCTAGTCACACTATCATAATGGTTAGATTTTTATTTTCTACTTGCATAATTGACATATCTTTATTCAGAAGATATGGGTAAACGATAGCCCAAATTTTCTTTCTTACACTGGCAAAGATCTCTAGAATAATACTGAATGGACATGTTGAAAGTGGGCATTTTTTATTCCTGATTTCAAGGGGAATTCTTTTTATTCTTGTGATCAGCCAGCCTGCCTTTCTCTTTCTTTCTCTGTTTCTCAAAACGATGTATCAGGTTAAAGGATTTTTTCTTTTGTCATATTATTTTTTCATGAATTTCTTTTTATACTCCATAAAATTCCTCCAAACTCTGCCCAATGCCTTATTTCAAAACCACTTCCACAGTTTTAGTTGTGTTACAACAGCACCCTGCTTTCAGGTAGCATTGTCTGTATTACTTTTTAATTTGCTGCTCAGTGGGTTGCTTTGATTGCTTTAGAGTTTGCAATCTTGTTTTTAACTTATTGTAGTCTCTATTCATGTGATATTAAATTACTTTATGTATAAGAACCTTAAAACATACTTTCATTTGTCCCTTTCCAGCTTTTGTGCTATTGTTTTTAAACATTTTACTACTGTACAACGCATTGTTATCAGTTTTGTTGTAAAATATTGCCCTTTAAAGAGATTTAATTAACAGGAAAATAATGTTTATATTTGCCCAAATAATTATCATTTATTGTATTCTTTATTTGTATATTTCCTTTATTTCCATCTGATATCATTTTTATTCTCTTTGAAGGATTCTTTGTCATTTTGTTGTGCAGGGTTGCTGCACTTTGATTTCTGGACAAAATATTTTGCCTTCAGTTTTGAAAGATATTTTTACTGAATAAAGAATTCTAGGTTGACCTTTCCCCCGCTTTCCAGTGCTTTAAAGATGTTGTTCCTTTCTCTTCAGGCTTGCGTTATTTGTTACAAGAAGTCTGTGTTCTCCTTATTGTGTCTGCTTTTCTCCTCTGTCCACTTTTAAGATTTTCTTCTTATTACTGCTTTAAAGTAATTTGATTATATGTGTCTTGGGGGGTAGTTTTCCTTATACTGTTGTAGATTTGCAGATTATAGTTTTCATCAAATTTGAAAAAAATTGGCCATTCTTTCTTCAAATATTCTTTTCCCATCTGTTTTCTCCATCATGAACTCCAGTTGTAAGCATATTAATCCATTTGAATTTATCTCATAGCTCACTGATGATATGTTCATTATTTTTTAGTTCTTTTATCCCTTTCATTATTTTAGTGTGTTTTGATTGCCCATATATTAGATTTTTCTAAATAGGAAATACATACCAAAACTCAGATTTAAGCTGAAAAACTATTTGGCAATCTTAACAATTTTCATTAAAAATGTATTATTATACTAACTTTCTGTGTTTTATGGAAATTATCACACTTGGTGTTTAACTTGTGAGAACTTTGCTATGGTGAATTTCATATCTGTTGGAAGTTGTGGTCTGAAATAGGAAATAACCTCTCAGTATCATAATAGGTCTCTGTTATTAAGCTTGTCTAAAATTTTTAGTAATCTAATTTTCAAATTTTTTATACTTTCTTGTATAAAATAACCTGGTACTACATAGTAGTTCAAAAATAGTTTAAAACATGTCAGTTCTGCTATAATATTTGTTTTGAAATGCAGACTTGTTCCAACATGACTGAACAGTTTGAGCATAATGTGAATTTTACAATTGCTTACACACAAATTCATCTGCAAATAGTACTAGGTGAAAGTAGAAAATAGCTTCTGCAAGCTTCCTTAGTTTACCAGGTATAGAGTGTACCGCACCAATCCAGGCATTAGAAATTTTTGTTCAATTTCAGATAAGCTTCCTTTCAATACTGCTTAATAGCTCTTAACTTGAAATATGTTTGATGCTCATTTCCACAAAGAAACTTGATTTCTTTTTCAAAATAAAGAGCTATGTTTCTCATAGTATCTTATTTCTTAATCATTTAACTATGTAAAACTGAAGTAATGTTCCTAATAGGTTTTGATTTTTGACATGTATCATTGACAGTGTTTTTGTGTAACCTAGACTCTTTCCCCCCATATATCCTGCAGTTTTTATCATATGATTTTTCACAGGGAGGTGACTTTCAAGATGGCATATACAATGTTATAGAAGAACTGACTGTAATTTGTCAGAGGAGTTTGTTTGATATGTATTAGCTTATTTGGTAAATTATATTCTATATAGCACTATAACAAACATTCTGGCTATATCATTAATTTTGTTTTGCTTTTATTTGATAATTTCCCTTGAAACACACTGTAGTGATTCTCAGAGTAAAATGGAAATCTGAATAATGTATATTATCATGTATTTATTTATGATTTATTTTCTTCCTAACTGTTTATTTCTGGCCTATGTAAAACTACACAGAAAACAAAGGCTACAAGTGAGCGAACAAAGAAAATTATGAAAACAGAGAAGAAAAAGGACAAAGGAAAATCTGAAGATTTAGAAGCGTAAGACAAAGATACTTGTTAATATTTTTTACTTATAAATATATATTTTCATTTTATACAATTTAAAGTCATATAAACATAATTTATTAACAGGTTTCTAAAAACACAACATTAGCAAATGTATAGTTTTATAAGCAGACCAGGATATGGGTGGGAGAAAGCTGAGAAGGGAAGAACAAAGAATTAAAAATGGGTTAGAGAGAATTACAAGATATTCAGATATAGGTAGACAAAATTAAACCCAAATAATTTTAGAGATGAATCAGATTTACAATATTTCATTGATATGTTAGCTCATGATTTGTGATTTGTATGTTAACCCCTCTCCCCAGTCTGGGCTGTTCCTATTTACTACACTTCTTACTTGTCTTATTTTATGAAGAAAAGTGTCTGATTTTAATGTAGGTTATTTTAAAGTAGCCTTATTAAGAGAATATTTTCCTTATTAATATAAAATAATTTATGCCACTGGAATTTTCTTGATCAAACCCTAACATAAATATATAGTTTAAAAAGGAAACTATCAATTCAATCTTTATAGAGTTCCACAAAGTCTAAAAAGAAACTTACCAGACTAATGGCCTTTTCTTAAGAGAGGAAAAGAAAATCAGAGAAGAAATAATGACCAGTGTACTTTGAAAATCCTTTTCCCATCTCAGCTTAGCATATTTTAATCATACCAATAAGATGTTAGTTGACAAATGTTATTCAGTTATTTAATATTTAAGCTTTATGAATTTTATGACTTTTAAAAGTATGAATTCTTTTCTTAAATTGAAGTATAGTTGATAAAAATATGCATTCCTTATGAAATTTTCTTTCTTTTTTATGAAGTATCAATTCAGTTCAGTTGCTCAGTCGTGTCTGACTCTTTGCTACACCATGAGCCACAGCACGCCAGGCCTCCCTGTCCATCACCAACTCCCGGAGTTCAACCAAACCCTTGTCCATCGAGTCAATGATGCCATCCAACCATCTCATCCTCTGTCGTCCCCTTCTCCTCCTGCCCTCAGTCTTCCCCAGCATCAGGGTCTTTTCCAGTGAGTCAGCTCTTCGCATCAGGTGGCCAAAGTATTGGAGTTTCAGCTTCAACATCAGTCCTTCCAATGAACACCCAGGACTGATCTCCTTTAGGATGGACTGGTTGGATCTCCTTGCAGTCCA